CAATTGACCAAATTGCTTCACTAGTAAACAAACTGGTCACTTATTGACCCACTCCCATAACTAGCCACTCACACAATGACAGACATAGTGACTCACACAGTAATCCCTGAAGATGCACTGACAGGTAAACACATGCATACAGACACAGTTACACAAGCATACACACAGTTACAGACATACAAATATGTACATCCTCTAACCCCACACTCAGTGACACATGTGCACACAGATACAAACACTCAGAAATACAGATACACAGTCAGCCATACACACATAATACACACGGGAAGTAATGAAAATTCCATTTAGTACTAAATGGAAAAGGAAGATTCATGTTAGTCTTCCCTCATTACAATATAGCTAGTGGGGGATAGGGGCTGTAGTGGAGGCATAAGGGCAGTAAGGGGGGTTAAGAGCTGTAGTGGGATAATGGGGCTGATGATGGGGTTATGGGCAGTAGTGGGGGATATAGAGGATGAAGTGAGGGTTATATGCTATAGTGGGGGCATAGACGTTGTGGTAGGGGGATAGAGGCAGTAGTCAGGGATTGGGGCTGTAGTGGAAGCTAGGGGCTGTATGGGGGTTTAAAGGCTGTAGTTGTGGGATAGAGGCTGTAGTGTTGGGTTAGGAGCTGCAGTGTGGTGTTAGGGGTGGGGAAAAAAAGAATGATAAAAAAAAAATCAGTTCACTTCACCTTCAACACGCAGCCTCATCTTGGGGAAAGGATTTTGGGGGCTTTAGTGGGAGATAAGGAGTATAGTGGAGTATGAGGGCTGTAGGGGGATTAGCGGTAATAGTGGGAGGTTTGGGACTGTAGTGGGGGTTTATGGGTTGTAGTGGGAGTTAGGGACAGTAGTGGGAGCTAGGGGCTGTAGTTGGGGGTTATAGGCAGTAGTGTGGGTTTAGGGGTCATAGTGGGGTAGATAGGAGCTGTAGTGCGGGTTAGGGAATTTAGTGGGGTTAGAGGATGTACTTGTGTGTTAGGGGATATAGTGAAGGTTATGGAATGTATTGTGGGATTAGGGTATGTAGTGGTGGTTAAGGAGCAGGTGTGGGGAGTGATGAGCAGAAGTGGGAGATGAGGGGATGTAGTAGGGTGTTGGAGATTGAAGTAGCGGGTGAGGGGCAGGTGCAGAACAGGGCATATGGAGCTAATTATAATAATAGGCAAATTTCAGACTTATCTGGTGTCCACTCGGGGCTCTAGCCCAGGTCAGTCATCCCCTTCCAACGCAATCATATTTCTAAAATTGACTCTCTCCCACAGTTCATCTTTCTTTGACAAATTCCCACAGGTAATCTCAATGTGGTGGTCACCCCGAGAAAGGAGGGATATCCACCGCCAGAGATGTCCTTTTCCCCTATTGGCCTTTTCCCCATGGCTCATCCAGGGGCATTGCTAGGTGACTCTTGTTATGCAACATTGTAGCGCTGCAGTAAGTGTGGGTAGCGCTGCAGTAAGTCGATCTCCAAGCAGGCAATAGAGCCAGTATAGCTGTACAGCTCTTATAAGAGCTAGTGGCTATAGCCAGTATAGCAATCCGAAGCAGGTATAGCTATTCCCTGCAATCACGAGACGAGGCTGCGTGTTGAAGGTGATGTGAACTGATTTTTTTTATCATTCTTTATTTTTTCAGTGCTTATAGTTGCAAACAAGCGTATATTGCCACAACAGCAGGTACAAGCTAATAAAAAAGATACAGCGTAAACTATAGCATGGCCTTTGATAACGGCACATTTTTTATTTAAGTAAACATTCTGTATAGCTAGATGAGTTATGCAATCAAAATATATATAATAGGTATCTAGTAAGTTACTCTAGTAGGTAGGCAGACACATAGCTGTGGCAGACAAAACTTATGAAGTATTGATTACGTGAAAGGCATTGGTATAGTCACTGGCTATAAAACACGTCTAGCTGAATAGTCAGTCTTCACAGCAAGCGTCAACCAATGTCTTATACGAAAGACTAAAATAGAGATTCCAATGTGACTGGGCATCCTAGCAATAATGCCTTGTATGAGAGAACTTTTGTATAGTATAAAAAGAAAAAAAAACAATATGCTCAGAGTAAATCACTAGAAGAACCTCAACACAGTATGCAGAAGTAATCAGAGTGAAAAACTATAAGGGTATTCAGAACAGATGCATACAATCATACCCTAAGCAGAGCTTTGAATCGTGCGTACAGTGAAATATCGCGAACAGTTGGTGGACATAAAGATCAAGGTTGAGGTCTGGTCACCCTTTGCCCTGGGAGGGTAAAGCCTTGTCTTGCAAATTGTGTAGCAGTCCGTGGGAGGGTGTACCAAGTAGAGAGTGTTTCCTAGGTAAGGAAAGTAATGAGGGAAGTGTTACCAGCCACATCGATGCCTGCACCACATGATTGCCAGTTGCCTGGTGGATAGTAGGGCCAGGTCTCCTTCTGTAGGAGAAAGGGAAAACAAATCAGGGTAGCGAGCAACAAGCCGAAGCACTAAGTCCAAAGGAGAGAGTGCCGGTCTGTACTCACAAACCTGTGTACCGCACGGAGACTCCAGGGGTCTCCTGGGGCTTAACCCCTATATAGATAAGAAACACAACAAAAAAGATGCTACAGGTGTCTCAACTTAGAACAAAGTGTGAGACCCTCTGCATCTCCTGGATATAAATGTAGCAATGTAGGAGTAGAGGAAAAAAGTATATACTGTGTATAAACTTAGCCCCAACAAAATGTGAGGTCCTGAAGACCAAAAAAAAAAGGAAAGAAAAAAATAAATAAATAAATAAAGTATATACAATGAACTAGTGTCACTATCTCTCCAAAATGAGAATAGGGGGAGAAACAATCTCACTGCTGAATCCAATGGAGGAAAGGATACTGGAAAAATAAGATAAAATACGACTTTATTAGGATAGGCTAAAAAATAAAAAATATATATCCGTCCCAGTAGTGACTCCTTAAGTATCCATCCCAGCAGAAACCCCTATAAAACCACAAAAACCTAGTCCAGCCAACTAACTATAATCCTAGGGAGTAGTTCATTGTATATACTTTATTTATTTATTTATTTATTTATTTCCTTTTTTTTTGGTCTTCAGGACCTCACATTTTGTTGGGGCTAAGTTTATACACAGTATATACTTTTTTCCTCTACTCCTACAATGCTACATTTATATCCAGGAGATGCAGAGGGTCTCACACTTTGTTCTAAGTTGAGACACCTGTAGCATCTTTTTTGTTGTGTTTCTTATATATATAGGGGTTAAGCCCCAGGAGACCCCTGGAGTCTCCGTGCGGTACACAGCTTTGTGAGTACAGACCGGCACTCTCTCCTTTGGACTTAGTGCTTCGGCTTGTTGCTCGCTACCCTGATTTGTTTTCCCTTTCTCTCTCTAATTCGGTTTCAATACCATAGTACCGCTTGTTTGTTGTATCATGGCAAGCTTTTTATTTGACAAATCAAAAAGGAATGAATGGTGTAGGGACACCGATCAAGTCTTCTCAGATCAGGAACTTACTAACATCTCTGTGAGTGATGATATTCTCTCATCATTTAATAGATTGACTAATCTGTTTCAACAGCAAATTAAAACTGAATGGGAAATAGCATCGTTAGAAAATTATTTGAAAAAACAGCTCATACCTAGAGGTTTGAGGGTACAAAATACTACCTAAGTTTTTTTTTTTTTTTGGTCTTCAGGACCTCACATTTTGTTGGGGCTAAGTTTATACACAGTATATACTTTTTTCCTCTACTCCTACATTGCTACATTTATATCCAGGAGATGCAGAGGGTCTCACACTTTGTTCTAAGTTGAGACACCTGTAGCATCTTTTTTGTTGTGTTTCTCCTTCTGTAGGAGTAGCGTTGGTAAAGGTGCCAAGTTCGCCGCAGGTGAATCCACCATGGTTTTCTCTGAACGCGTGGCCTTTTTTTTTTTTTTTTTTTTTTTTGTGCATAAGTGAGACATACAGGGTTGCACAGCCACAACAGCTGGTGCATGCTTAACATCAGGTAGAGCTTAACAATTGTGTGACATGAGAAATAATGCACATTTTATGTTATTGAAAAATAAGTAATGGAGTCAGAAGAGCAGTCAATAGCAATACAGTTGGCTAGTCTCATGACTCTTTAGGTTAACATGCTTTAAGTATAGATTTTGATCACGCTTATTTTGTGGAGTATCCTCGCAGTACCATCTATGCATCACCACTTTTATGCCTATTTGTGTTTGCTTGTAAGACATACATTCCATGTAATCACGACAGGCCTGAGCAGCGTAAACACAGTAGGTGAGGTATTAAGATTCTAGACATTTAAGAACAGTCTCGTTGCTCAGTTTGTCGCTATGAAATATACAGTGCAAGTGTAGTGGTGTGTGACATGGGGGACTTAGTGCAGTGCGAAAATAATGAGAAAAGGTGGTGAGACACAAAAAGTCAACCTGGGTGCTACAGACAAAGACAGAACACAGTCCCCTCAAGTATGCGATCTTCGGCACACTCCCGCTGCTGATTTGTGTGCAGGAAGTGATGGCAGGGTTCCAGCAAGTAGGAGAGTTCGGTAAGTACTGCTCCGTCGGTTTAAGGCCTGGTCCTGTATCTGGGGGTCCTGGCTGGTGTAATTCGTGCTGGCGTTGGGTTGCGATGTGAGGAACATCCTCTCACGTCTCAATGTCCAGGAGGGCAGCAGTGGGGCCGGACGCAGTTGCCTGGCATAAAGGCTTGGGCTGCCATTTCCTCTGCTGGTGTGGCTAGACAGTCCAGGAGTGGGTGCTCCAGCCAGCATTTAGCAGTGTTGTGGTTCCAGTCTGCAGGTAGTCAGCTTTTCTAGTTCAGACTGTGAGGCAGCCATTTTGTTTAGAGAGCGCTGGTGTCCGAGAGCAGGCCAAGGTCCGTAGGATCTGCTCCTGATGGTGTCAGATCTCTCCACTGTGGACCGGGATAACCCCCCCGGGCCATGGGGGGGGAACGGGGCCTGTGAGGAGTGTCACAGGGTTGCTGTGTGGCTGCTAGATTATCGAGCAGGGTGGCGGCCGTCCACCCCGCTTCTCTCCCGCGTAGGCCGCAGGCTCCAAAGCTGTGTATAACCCTCAGGGTCTCCAAAGCTCCCGATCTTGGGGTCTGCAGTAGTGCCCACAGCTCCCTGCTCACTTTGCTGTACCTCTAGGCTGAGATAAGAGCAGTTTGTACCGTAGTTTTCGGCCCAGATGGCCAGATTGTGCAAGAGCCTCTCCCGCACGCGACCGGTCAGCATGGCGGTCAGGCCCCGCCCCCCCGAACGCGTGGCCTTTTGATGGCGGCTTTCACCCAGCTTTTATGAGCTCTTGGGATCAAGGCCAAAATATGCAGGGGCCGAATCTTCAGTGGTCTCACCATGTTCTGTTGCCGCTGTGCACTCGGAGCTTTGATAGAAGCCGCTTTCCAGTCATGAGGAGTGGAGGATGAGAGTGCAGTGAGTTGTATCTGCTCACCTCTAGATACCCTCATGCGGCTCTCAAGCGCTGACCAAAAGTCCCGAAATATCCTGTCAAGACTCTCCAAGACTAGGGGCAACATGTCATAGGATTCAGGTGGGTGCATGGTTCGCGCCACTTTGTGCTTGAGAAGATGGTCTTAACTCAGCCATAATGGGCACCCACTGCAGCACTAGAGATTATGCCGGGATAACCCCCACCGGCAGGGGGCGCGGGAGAGACAGGTGGTGACACTCAGAGCAGCGATTCTAGAGGGAGCAGGCGCGGGGCTCGGCCGCATTCCCCGCACCAGCCACTGGTAGGCCACAGGGTCGTTCCACACCCGATCCGCTGATCACGATGGGACCGATGAACAGACTCACTCCACTAAAGCCCCCACCGGTATTCCTCTCGTTGTTCCTGTGTCAGGACGCAGATTGCTTGGGTTGAAGCTTATGTTTTGGGTTTTGTTCCTGGAGCTACCCAGGTATGCGTCCGTGCAGTATGGCAGTCAGGCGCCGCCCCCCAGTTAACTGATTTTAATGGGATCACACTTGGCCTTTTATGACAGTCCCCATGCAAGGGACACTCCCCCTTGGACCTGAGAGTAAACCACAGTAGAAACAAATACACAATCACATTGGCTCTCAGATCCAGGACACTCCCAAACAAACTAGGTCAATCCCTCCTCTGTACCTGGGAGATAATTGAGTCAAGTACTGTATTAATTCAATTATCTTCAGACACAAAAACACACATTTTTATAAAACCCCCAAAATACCTTTGAAACAAACAAAACCCCCACAAAAGCTATATCGCCTGGTAGCCCCGATCTGGGTGAACAACATCTCCAAAAATCCCCCAGATCGGTTCAGGGGTTCAGGAATTTCTTGGAAGTCGTAGTTTTGGTCAACCGCACTCATGGTCCCATGCCCAAAACAGTTCCATAGAATCGCGGCTAAGTGCCGCTGGAGACCGACCATGAACCGCGAAGTCTTCCTGACAAAAACCAGTTCCAGGAACTGCAAAGTTTTCATGACGAAAATAGTCCCAGGGCATTCGCGGCTAAGTTCCCCTAAAGTCTATTTGCGGTTTTGGTCTATGCGAACGGCCGCCAGTGAGTTGGCATTCAGTTAGGTTTGTATACCAATCTAGTCAAAGCAAAATTATCATCCAAGAACAGGGGGATCTGTTACACTCGCCCTGGCTATGTTTTATCAGACAAATACCTCCAATCTGTTTCCCCAGCCACATTCCTTTTCATTCATAATACATGCTATATTCCACCTTTTGTATATATATATGTATGTTTTTGGTATGGACTATACATACTGAACAAGGTGGCTAAATCAGTACTGGGAAATTTACCCTTGCAAAAGGGCAAAATATTGCCCCAGCCAAGTGTCATCTGAGTTCAGTAGACCCAGTGGGACCTGTGTAGGGCCAGCGTGTCACAAATACATCCAGCACAAAAAAAAAGTTGTTATTGAAGTATTCTAAATTAAACAATATGGTTTACAGTGGTTGTAGCCAACTGTTAGCGCCACACTTACTGTGGAACTATGGAATGATGCTTTACCAGACTTTTGGATGTTGACATGGGAGTTCATGTATGAAAGGTCTGGAGTTGAGTATAACTGGACAGAAGATGATATCAACTAAAATACAGAAATTGGAAAATTGCATATTATGACTTCTGTGTTGTACAATCACTTTTTTATATTTTACTAGAAATATTTAAAACATAAAACTTACATATTACTTGATATATTGCTTTTGTGATTGTCTCCATGTAAAGTGACCCTATGGGCTCCGAACAGAACATGAAACCATGTCAACTAGAACATCTTGGTAGTGGGAGTGTGCCATATTTCATTTTGTTATTGGTTATTTGTAGCACGCAACTGTCAGGAATGAGATGCAACTTTCTTTTAATATCTAAATAAAATGTCGCACAATCCAGGTGCCAAGTTTGCCTCTTGGGAAATATTTTTCAGTACGTAAAATGTGGGTGTTGATGAGTAACTTTTTCCTGGATTATTCATACTACACCCAAGCATGACCATCTCCATACTGCCTAGCCCTCATGGATTTAATAACATAATTTTTCAAGTGTTCTACGGAAGCAGTTTATGATGTAAATCTAAAAAAAAGTGTTAAATCATTTTTCTGACAATCTAGTTGGAAAACAATTAACAGGGATATTTAAGGATAGAAAAATAAAACATTTAATATGCAATGTGTAAAGCATCCAACTTGAGCCAAAATTAAGTAGAAGCATTACAAAATAATAAGAAAAAAAAATAACAAGAAAAATATCTAATATATAATAAGGTTACCACTACTACTCCTACCAGGAGTTCAAAGGATCCAGAAATATGTGATCTTGGTGCCCACTAACATGACAGGAAAATCCTGCAAAGAGCTCAATGAAGAAAGTCTGCATTTTATAGCTCCCATATATAATGGTCAGGACAATTATTTATTGATGCCATCCTTCAGTAGACAGACATTCCTCCTTAGAGCCTTATTTCAGTTTTTCTATTAGCAAACTACTATTTATTGACTGCTCTCCAAAACACAATTTCCTGTATTGGAACGTCTGCTGAGTATTGTCCGGACTACCTGAAACCACCACTCACCATAACTAGTAAGACTGATGATGGAGGTAAAACAATTGTCTGGAGTGAGCAAAGTAGCTGAATTTATATATTGAATTATCCGTAGCCAAATCATCACAGATTCATAGTTGCACTAAATTAAAGATGTTCTTGAGAGATAGACTTTGACTAGCCTTGCATTAAGAAATATTATACAGACCTGGTGAAGAACATTTAATAAGAGGGTCTATGCTAGCAAAATACCTGAGGTTTTCAGATGCGTTCTGTTTGAGAAATCAGACACATATAGAGTAGAGCAGTTCAGCAAAGTCATCACCTCCTGACATAGTTTGTGTACCGAAGAACTGCTCAGTCTATCAGTTCATTGCCCGCAGGATGTTGCCCTTATAGGTCAAGTAGATAAAAATGCTATTTCTTCCCCAAAAATTAAGTCTGTTGTCAAATCTCAAAAACGGTAACTCCTGAGAAGGTCATCTTTTAGCAAAAAAAAAAAAAAAGACACAGCAGAAAGAGAAAAGGAGATATTTCACAGCTTTACAGCGGCTAAACAATATGTCGGCTTGACTGGAGATAATGAACAATAAATGAGTTGGGGGCACTAAACAACTAAGTCCTAAATACAACAAATCCAAGGATAAAAACTATAAACCGAATATTTTGCAAATAATATTTGTTACCATATAGTTATAATTACTCCTACTAAAAGATATTAATTCAGAAAAATATTGTGTATACCCGCGACTCCGTTAGGCTTTGATTTAATATTGATGGATAAGCTTTTCAAGTCATAAAATGTATTTTGGATAAGCTTTTCAAATGATTTATTATTTTTGGATAACTTTTTAAATGGTTTAATAGTTTTGAAAAAAGTCACACACACACAGTTATAGGCAGCATCACACAATCACAGGCAGACAGTAAACACACACATAGTCACATGCAGATAGTCACCTATACAGTCACAGGCAGTCACACACACGGTTACAGGCAGACAGTCCCACACACACACACAGTCACATACAGACAGTTAGAGGCAGTCACAAACAGTCACGCACACAGTTACAGGCAGGCATCATGGCAGAAGACTGCCGAGCGGCACTCCCCTCAATCTTCGGAAGGTAATTATCTCAGCTTTTTCCACATGAATACGAAGGATATGTGACAGACCTGCTTTAACACTACAGTACTAATGCTTTCCTCCCAGTTGCCTCTAAGTAGAAAAGGAAGAAAAGGCCCTTGTGTTCTACGAAGGTATTTGGGCTCTTGCTTGAGATGCAGATGATCTTTGATGTACTGCATACCATGGCTGTCTTTAGATATGGTATAGAATATAAGATATACCATGGAACACAGCTTACAATGGCCTCGATTTAATATTTTTGGATGGGCTTTTCATATTATAAAACTGTTAGAATTTTTTTCCAAACTATTTACCTCAGAAGTGAAGATTAAAGTCAATGGAAATTTTTGTATTTCAATTATTGAAAAGCTTATCCAAAAATATTAAATCAGGGCCATAGTTACATAAATGTAGTAATTTACACTTAATTGGGTTTACTTACCGTATATACTCGTGTATAAGTCGATCTTATGTATAAGTCGAGTGCAGTTTTGTGACCAACAATTGTGAAATATGCTATGCCTCGTGGATAAGTCGAAAAAAACTTGGGGCTATGAAATTCTGTGATTTTTATAATTATATACACACACACTCATACAAACACACACACTGCATTATATATACACACACTCATACAAACACATACTCTGCATTATATACACACACACACACACACACACACACACACTCTGCATTATATACACACACACACTCATACAAACACACACACTGCATTATATACACACACACTCATACAAACACACACTCTGTATTATATGAGTACCATTAAATTGGGTGATAGTAACAACCCCTGGATGTTGGGCTAAGGTAACATCCCCAGGACGTACTTGGAAACCAGAGCAATCTGAATGTACCTTTCCTGGTTAAACACTTTGTTATTATTATATACGCACACTCTGTGTGTATATAATGCAGAGTGTGTGTGTTTGTGTGAATGCAGAGTGTGTGTGTGTATAGTGTGTGTTTGTAAGAGTATATACGGTAAGTCAATAGAGTGTCTAATGAGATGAAAGAGACACGTATTCTGTAAACAAAGGGA